GGATTATTTCCGGAACACTGGGGCCTCTGTTGGCAAGGCTCTGCAGTGCAACCTCTAGTGGGAGGGGCTTGGAATGGCATGGCTAGAGGAAATACAATTTTTTTATTTTGGTTAGAAGGATGTGGTTTCCCTAATTAGTCAGGTCATTTTCATAAACTCAAACTTCTATAACTTTTTTTCTGTTTCATTTTCTTAATTTATTTCACTTCTACAAAAATCTGCCTAATGTCTTTAAAACAAAACCAATCATAGATATATTCAAAAGCATTCTTGAATTACAACTATTTGAGTTTGGAATGTGCATTTTCATGTCTATAAAAGGGAGGGGCGGGGGGCACTTAAAGGGTTAAATTGAAAAGACAACAGAGAAAAACAGAGGGCACAGCCTACTTACAATACTGATGTATTCTACATCCTCAGTCTTTGTGACAATTTTCACTGCCACCTAATAAACAAAACAATAAATTGAGATTTGTTGAAAAATGATTTACAATTAATAAATCTTCAGGTAATATTAATCAAATCCAGATGATCAATCTGCTAGCTAGATATTGTAAGTAAAAAAGGAACCTTAAAGTCATCCAGCAGTCGACTTCCCTCATAGACAGATCCAAAGGCCCCTTCATTCAGCTTGTCACCGATCACATAGTGGCAGGAATTGATGCCTTTTAAAAAGATTAGTTTTTCATGAAATATCATACACTGGTGCAATGTCCAGCAGGGTGATGCTTTACATCATCAGACAACTATTTTAAACAGCATATTTCCAAATTTTTGTTTAAATAATTAAGTGATAATAAAATTGATTGATATAGTATAAAATATGTGTGTGTTTGTGTGTGTGCGTATTGTATTATTGTGGCAGTAAACTTACCCACAGTTTTCTTTTCAGAATTCTACAGTTGTCTAATCAGAGGTGAAACAAGACCCTCTGTGGGACTAACTAGTGTTTGGCCAACACCGATGCTCCAGTTTGACGCAGTGCCTACGGAAGTCTGGGTGACATTGGCGTTCCAATCAGTGGTGTGTATTTGAGCCTGGGTGGCATCGATGCTCCAGTCAGAAGGGGTGCGACGGACTGGAGTCTGGGAGATGTCAGCACTCCAGTCTGACACTGTTCGTGCTGGAGTCTGGATGATGTAGTCTGACGCTGTTTGTGCTGGAGTCACAGTGCGTACTGGAGTCTGTGTGACGTTAGTGCTCCAGTCTCACGCTGTTCGTGCTGGAGTTTGGGAGACGCCTGTGCTCCAGTTTGATGCAGTGTGTACAGGAGTCTTGGTGAAGTCAATGCTACAGTCTGACGTGGTGCATGCTGGAGTCAGGTAGGCATCAAAGCTCCAGTCAGACGTGGTGCGAACTAGAGTCTGGGCGACATCATCACAGCAGTTCGATGCGGTGACGATCAGGCCGGCATCGATGCTCCAGTTGGACACGGTTTGACAGACTTGAGTCTGGGCGATATCAGCACTCCCAGTTTGATGCAGTGTCTACTGAAGTCTGAGAGACATTGTAGTGCATACTAGAGATTGGAAGACATCAGTATCAGGGTGAACAGCAAGGTGTTCTTCCGCTGCTTGAAGGATTTCAGGATCACTGGTTGAAGGTTCCTGATGATTTTGATTCTCTACACTACAGATGACTTGCTGTAGAAAACGCTGAACTAAAGAGAGGAAAGATGTTAAAATCAAATAACATGAATTATGAATTGCAGAGTCAGCATATAATTAGTTAATTATTATTTTATTTTTTGGAGCCTTTTAGATTCTCAAGTGTCACAAACCCACCGTTGGGCCCAAATCCATTACATTTTTAAAACAGTAATATACTATACTAAACCTAAACCAATCTTGACAAACTATATATCATTTGAAAACTTACAATCTCTAGTTTCCAGATTTAGTGATTGATTTTCAAAGTAAATTACAGAGGAGTGGTAATATATCATATCAGTTTGCAATAAGAATATTTTCATACTCCTAAGGCATGTAGACCTTTATTTTGAAATAGTGATGAACATGAAAAATCATGAAATAAAGGTAGAAACCTCAGTTTGTTTTATTTATGCGAAGAGTTTAAAATATAGCATCCATTCAATTATTTAAGAAAAAAAGGTCTGAATGTTTTTTTTAAGTAAAGAAAAAAAAATAGATTCATAATTTGTGTGGCAGCAAGCTAACGCACATACTTGTTATTTTAATGTGTTTCTTAGAGGTTGAATTCATATCAAAATAAAGTGGGTGCAATTTTCGGTCACGTGGCGGAAGTAGCATACCAATGGTATTTTGTGTGATATTTAGCGAAGAGGCTGGGTGTTTTTCAGATAATGTTTTACTATTTAAACTATGTCACAAAATCTTTTTTGAGAGATGGACAACATGTGCTGTTCGAGGTTGAACATAGGCCTATAACCGTACTAAACTAATTTAGTGGCAAATTTTATTATCCAACAATCTTTAAAGATTTAAGTCTACCGTTAAGCAACATATTCAGAACATGAATTACACACAGTAAACATTTCATAGTACATATAATATAACATATAACGTTAGGCTATATATATTTCTCACGTCTCTGTGGCAAGAAAACACTGAGTTATTTACTCTTCGAAACACCAACTTTTGAATGGGTTTCGCCTGCCTGTAAGTTAACATTATGTTGAGCATTGCTATGAGACTGATAAACAAACAAACCGAAATTCATAATTTCTAACAAAATAAATAACTAATTGCATAATAATAAGTTGTCATGTCTTTTTTTCATGACTTTCTAACGTTATTAGGGCAGTTAATACAATTACTTACCATCAGGAATTCTTCCAGTTGGTACTTCTGCGTCTTGAGCCTTTTCCTTACACCGAGTTGGTCTTCCTGCTGTATTTTTGTCCAGCTCTCCAACAACAGGTCCATCTCCACAACCTGAACCTCTTTTTCTTTTTAGAGGTGTCCTCCTTAAGCCCCGTTCACACTACACGCGACCAAGCGACGCGATCGTGCGGGCGACTTTCCGGCGACAGCGACCGTTGGCGACCGGTGGGCGTGTCCAGCGACGCGACAGAGTTGAGAAATGTTTAACTTTATGCAAATGAAGGGCGATTTTCGCGAGCGACAACCAATAGGAGTGAAGTCAGTGGAGCGCGTCACTCTGACCGAGGCAAGTTGAACAAGAAGCTAATTTTAGCATCTCCGTGTAGCACATACAGTGGTGTTCATCGTACTGACTCCGTGACTGAATGGTTTCAGGGAACCCAGATAGACTGGTATTTGCCCGTTTGCTGCAGTTAAATTGCCGCGATGGCAATGAGCACTCACTGTTTCTCGTTCATGTTTAATATTATGCATTTTATGTACTGATTCCATTTATATTTAGACTTTTCCTTGCAAAATATTTGTTTGTAGCGGCAATAAAACGTATTTGTTGTCTAACATAGACTTCCGTGAATGTCACTCACAAACATTAACGGCAACCAGTAGTGGGGAACGCCCTCCAGCGCAGCCACAAGCGACCTGTGACGACAAAATCGCGTGTAGTGTGAACGGGGCTTTCGTTTTCTTCATTCCCCCATTCACGTTCTCTTCTCCAACCATCACCAACTGAATGTGGGTGGGCTTCCACCAAACTGGTGAAAGATTTCGGCGGTGAACCATGGAAATGCACATTTCCAAAGTCTTTTCCTCTTTGCAACGAGAGCTACGTTGACCCATCGCTATCGTAATTTAGCTGCAGATTTAGCTGAGCAAAATGAGAGTTACAAGACAAGTCTCACCTTTAAGCTTCGTGATGTCACAATTAAGAATAACTGTCGTAGGCCCATATATGGTCGCGCTCGGAGAACGTAATTCTGCGCATGTGAGCACACAAAGTAACCATTTATTTCCTTCTCTGATCGATTAATAAACGCATTGTCATTTATATGTCATTTATTATTTGTTTTCAAGTCGAATACAGACAGAAATACATATTTTACGTTTCACACCGTAAATAACAATGACTGCACTGCAGGTGTAATGCAGATTGTTATCAAAGTACCTACTTCATGTCATGATGCTTACACTAGATACGTTTTTGTAGTATTTATTTATTTATTTATTTATTTATTTATCTTTATTCATTAGTTGTTTAACAATAGTGCAAACATGCACCTATCTGGATATCATTTCCAACAATGTATATTTTGAACAGGTTCATTTTTGCACAAGCAGAATAAAAAGGGAAATAAGAAAGAGAGAAAAAAAGTAAAAAAACAAAAACAATAAAACAAAACAAAACAGCAAACAGATAGGCTATTAATCATCATTGTACATGAAATATCTCATCATATTTCTTCAGAAAAGAAAAACATTTTCTATTATCAGATACATTTTTCTAATAGATTTGATTAAATATCATTAATCATAAATATCATTTTCATAAGAAATCTTTGCTTGTGAAAGTAAAATTTTGCCACAAGTATGAAGTTAACAGTAGATTCTAATTTGTTTGGACATTCAAAAAAAATAAATAAATAAAAATGATATCGTTGATGCAAAGACTACCATTCATTTTAACTTTAGAAAAAAACTATAAGATCCCAAATCATTCCCAGAAATGTATGAAACTACAATAAAAAAATAAAAAATAAACAAAAATGACAGACGTCTTCAATTTCAGTATTACAGAAGGAACATAAATCAGCTAAATCACAGTATCTGGATAACAGTGTATTTACAAGGGTAGGCCTATATATTATGCAGAATTTTAAAATGCATTTTATTGGGTATGCAATATTTACTGTAAATGGTAGTAACCATGTTTTCTCCATTGAATGTTATCAATTATAGAACTCCAAAAGAATTTCCCTTTTGGAGTAAATAAATTTCCAGAGTGAGGGAGTTGACGAATGCATTTTATTACAATCTTTGCTTACAATCGAAATTGTAGCTCGTGTGTGTATCAGTATCAGTATCAGTGATCTCATAGGTACAGCCCACTCAAGTCACGTGACATACCTTTCTCAACCCCGCACCTATGTTGACTCACGTGTCTGCCATTGTCACGATGTATGGAGTCTGTAAACATGTAATGCGCTTTTACTGGTTATAGACGAGTATTGATTTCATTTGCGCACCCGTTGATAAACATCCGTCATTGATTTCTATGTAACGTTAGGAGTCCGAGCTTTTGTCCTCCAACCTGTGCTGACTTGTCCTGGACATGGACGTGGTGGATGAGAGTCCGCCTGTTAAGGGTCTCATAAGTAAAGTTCTTGAAGATCACAGGAGCAGCAGAACTGATCCTCTTTTACTGAGGAATGACTCTCAGTTTAGGAAGAACCTGGAAGCTGTAAGTGTATTTTAAAACTGACTTTTATACACTGTACTAGTGCCAGAGCATTAACGTGTAAAATTTGTTTAAAGACTGTTTTGCATATTGCTTACAATAGTGACTTTGAGAGCAGCTGAAACTAATTCATTGCATTGGTCAGGCTGTAATATGAGATTGGTTGAAGGGAAACCTGTTGGGTGGGATTTTAAACCTTAAATATAAAGTGAATGATTGTAAGGTACGGTTAAAAAGCAAGAAAACATTAAAACTATGTATAACTATAATAATTTAATATTATAATTGTGAGTACACTGTGACTCAAATCTTAGATGACGAATACATTTTTGTTTTGTTTTTGTGTACATGTATGAATAATTGTCTATATATATATATATATATATATTAGTGTACACACTATTCATTTGGGGTTGGTAAGATTTTTTTAAGTGTTTAAATTCTTACAATGACTAATTTCTCTTTTAGTATATTTTAAAATGTAATTTATTCCTGAATTTTCAGCAGCCATTAACTGTCAAATGATCATTTAGAAATCATTCTATTCTGATTTGCTGCACAAAACATTTCTTATTATTATCAAAGTTGAAACCTGGTGTGTGTGTGTGTTTGGGAAACGCACACCGAATTATTATTTTTTGATCAATTAAAGTGGGTTCTTAAAACTGAATGTTTAAAAATTATAATGAATGAGGGACTGTACAAAAAGAAGTATTGTACAGTTGTTTTTACTTGAAATATATTTTCAACTACCCGAATACTATGTAATGCAGCATTATGTAGCCTAAATATTACATTTGTCTATTTTAGACAACAGGAAAATACTTTTCATCAAAATTAAATTGAGTATTTTATTCAAAGAGAGCTTTCATTTCATGATGTTTTGCTGATCCCTTCATGTAATGGCACCTGTCTTTTTATGGTTTCTTCAACACAAATTCTAGACATGGGGGTTAAGAGCTGCTGTTTACACTGACTACAAAAATGACTTCACTGTGTGTTTCCCCAACATCCCTCATGAGTCTATTAGCTAAAATACACATTAAGTAATGGACAATCAGGCTGCGTCACTTTGTTTAAAGGGACACTTCACCCATTTGCATTAAGCTTTGTATCTTTAGAAACCCAGTCATATTTTTTAATGGTCATGGTTTATTCCCTTATTTTCCCCTGAGATGGGAGAAATAAGTATTTAAGTGTATTACTTCCTGCTTATTATGACGTAAAAATCGCCATTTTGCATCATAATGAGCAGGAAGTCACATTTCTTTAAAAAGTGTAGAAACTACAAGCATGAGCTCATTATTATTCAAGAGGTGTGAGACCCCACAGGCCTATTAGAGATCAGTGGGCGGGACTTCACTTGCAGATACTGAATCAATATATTAGCCATCTTGTTTGGAAGCTAAGCTAACAAGCGCTGTGGAGATAGGAAGTATGACAATGACGGAAGAAACTAAACATGAAATGGAAGAAGAGGATTTTGTAATTCTGCTGCTCAAATCTGATGTTCGTGGCTATCTTTACGAGCCACAGTATAGTGAAGAGCAGCTGAGGCTGATAGAGGAACAGGAGGCGGCTGCCTGTCGGTTGAGAAGCCCGGATTGGCTCGAGCTGAGGCGGACTGCTGGTGCCCGTGCTCTCGCTGTGAACTACGGACACAGATAGAGTCCGTCTGCTACGTAGAATTTCAATGATGGCAATTTCTCCTGAACAAAATCTCTGAATCAGACGAGCACACGGATGTTTGTGTTATGATGTGAGCCATCCTAGTTTCGCCTGACTGAACATCCAGGTATCATGCAGTAATTCACCATATAGAAACAAATACAAACGAGGAGTAATTCACTAATGAGTCTGCCAATGTAACGTTAACGGGGTTTGTTGTTGTGGGAAGAAGGAGACGAGAACTGGCGAACATTTAAACATTTTAATAGTAAAATGGACAAATAGAAAATGAAAGTATAAGCCAGTAGCCCCTCATTGACGACTGCTGTAACGTTACACACAACAGAAAAAAAAAAAAAAACACATCATAAAATCAGGCCTGCTTCTCTCTCAGTCGCTCCTCATTTTTTGCTTTCGCTCCTCCGTGAGAGACATGAGACCGCCGCGCGCCTCACAGGTCTCTTTCGTTATCACTCACGCCACCTGCCTCGCACCGTCCTCTTTAGGGTGGCCATACCTCCGGATTTTGGCCGGACAGTCCGGATTTTAAGCTCCGTGTCCGGCATCCGGCGCAGCCTCAAGCCGGACACTCATTTGTCCTCCTTTTTGAAGTTGATCTGAATCGGCAAAAAAAAAACAAAAAAAAAACGCTCTAGAATCTTTATTGAGACGCAGCAGCAGCATAGCGTCTAATGCCGTAGATCTCTAGTCAAACACATGATTCGCAGGGTTGCCAACTCTCACGCATTGAGCGTGAGTTTCACGCAAAATTGAGCCAATTCTCACGCTCTCACGCCACACCCCCAATTTCTCACGTTGAACTGTGAATCTGGCCGGTCAAATCCCTGAAAGATGAGTTTATCTATAGATCTACCTGATGAGCCACTCGTGATCGACTAGTTTTAAATTAGTTAAAAAATATACTAATCTAGAGCTTAGCTCCTAACGGCACGGACGCAAAGCCAGGACTGGAGCAAAAGCCCGTTCCTCTCTGCACTCTAAGCGTTCTGTTATCACTCCGCTGTAATCCACTACGGGTTTTCCAGTCTCACTCACAGGAAAAAAACTGCTCCGTGTTCAATCTAATTTAAAAAAGATAATCTTATGTTTTATTTTTTTATATATCACAAACGTCTGAATTTATAATACTATATGTAATGCTCTGGAAAGTATTCTACATGTTTAATAAATGTTCCAACTGCTTACACAAGGAAACAGTATGGGAAAGCGCACCCAGGTAAAAATAAGAATTTGACAAATTCTACAAACAATCTTAGTTTGCCAACAGTTAATTATATATATATATATACTGTGTATATATATATATATATATATATATATATGACCCTATGGTGCCAGATTATTTGTTTATTTATGTATTTCTATTAATTTTATGTGTTTATCTTATTAAGTCCAGAAATGTGCCCCTCGGATATTTTCTCGGTCTTTTCTCGGTCAAGAGGGCACCAAATTCAAAAATTATTTTACATTTCGACTATGATCCACTTTCAATAAAGATTAATGTTGAAATGGGTGAAATACTCCTTTAACGCTGGTTTCTTTTGAGGCACAGCACCCTGTTTTGACAATGTAACAAAGCTTTTATTGCTTATACGGTTATTTCTTTTTGTAATCTGTACATGTTCTAACCTAGGGGGATGCAACCTCTCTGACCTTTTAACAAAGTGATGTTTTGTTTTGATTTAATTGGAAAAGCTAGATATACTGTCTGCAATGAATTAATATTTCATGTAATCGTCATAGCAGCTGTTTTAAGATAAGAAACAGCTGAAAAAGTGCATTGTCTCAGGACACAAAGCTGTATTGTTTTTCAGATGTTTAACCTCTTTCTCTCTATGCTAGATTATATCTCAGAAGCAGCCACCCGTGTCCATCCGCTGTTCAAATGCCGGACAGACTAGACACAAGGTAAATCAGGTATTTATCTCCCGTCGATACCCTCAGTCCTTCAATGACTTGAAAATCTGGTTGTTTAATAGTGTCAAGTACAATTCTCTTGATGGAGAGGTTGGGGATGTTGTCAGCACTTGTTTTAGGTTATGTAATTGTTAAGATGAGTACATCATGAGAATCATATTAGAAAGTGAACATATCACATGGAATTTTGCACCTATCACCTGGACTATGTAGTGTAGATAGATGCACAAGTTTATGTTCTAAATTTTGAGGCCACGCAGGCAAATATTTTTTATATTTTGTTAAATTCTGACCATCTCATCCTGTTTATGTCCTGACAATTTTAAATCTTTCCACTTTATCTTGATTAAGATTGTTCTCTATGTGTTGTGAAGGCTTGCGTGAATAATGTGCCATGTGCCGGCCGAGCTCTGAGGAATGCTTTCTTATCCAATTGCCAGGATAACTGGAAAGCACATATTAAACTGGCAAGAATCATCAGGTAAGTTTCATTGCAATGTTGTGTGTTTGCCAGTTAGCCTTAAGGCCCTTTCAAACCAAGCATCATGACTATAAAGTTTTAATAATCTAATTATATAACAAAATAGGAGTCCACTCCACATCTACAGGTATAGAATAAATATATTGTTGGAATTACTTTCAATACAATTTTTTTTCCAGCTGTTGATGGAAAAAAACATTGACAGCCAATCAAAATTCAACTGACTTTAAAGACCTTAAACATTTAAAGCAACAGATGACATAACTGCACACCGAAATAGAATTTTCTCATCTTTTGGCGTGGAAGTGAGAATGTAGTTATCATTATCTTCATAGTAACTTCAATGTAAGGAATATAGGTAAGTGTAGTATTATTATAAGCAGTTAAAATATGTAGTGTATATGATAGTGGGGACTGACTTAGGGCCTTTTCTCTAAGTCTAATACCTTGTTTGGTCCGGACTTTCGGACTTTTCAGTTTGGTCCGAATCAAAATTACAGGTTTGAAACCTACCTCAGACCATGGTCCGGACCAAGCAGATGAAATTTGGTCCAACAAAAAGAGGTAGTCTCGGTCCGGATCAAACTGAAAAAAGTTTTGGTTTGTTTCTAGTGTGAAAGCATTTCTGCATTGTTCGGAATTTCTGACCTTTTACATAAAGTTCCGGTGGTTCCCGCATAGTAATAGAATCAAAATAGAATCATTTTGGTTGTTGTTTTCTTGATATTGTAAGTAATGTTTATTTATTTTACCTGAAAATGTATCAACATTAAGTAAAATTGAAACATAATTTTCCAAAAAAAAAGGACAGTGAGGACTTTGCCTCCTTATTTCAGAAGAACAATGGATTGTGTCACAAAAAGTTGGGTCCAAAAATCTGACGCCACACTGAAAATCTGAAATGTAAAACTAAACTTAATTTAAAGTTGCCCTCAAACCGTATTCACTTTATAGCCCTTAATCCTGTAATTGTGGACAAATGTGGGCACAGAGCACTCAGGTGTAATGCTAATTTTTATTTATTATAAATGTTATATCACTGTCTTCGATAAAGTTTTGTCTATCCATTTATGGTGTGGTTTTTTATTTTTGGGGGTATTTTTGAATTTCTTTACTTCAAAAAGTACCATATATTCTATTTAAATTATGCTTATTTTAATGTTTTATTTTGTAAATTTTTTAACTACATTAAAATATCATTCCAATAAGTTCTTCGAGCTAAAACCTAAAGATGAAGTGACTCTGCTGTCACCTGGTGTGTTATTTTGGCTTATTTTAGAATATCATTTCTATGGGTGCCCATTTTTGACCCAAATACGAGATTAAGGAGTTTTTTTTTCACACACTTAACATTGTAGAATTGAGTCCAAAAAAAATGTGTGTGTTCAGGAGGCAAACTTAGGAAAAGTAGCCAAGTCTTGTACCGCTCAGATCGAGGGAAGTATTTTTTAAAAACAAGTCAAAACTATTTTGCCCACGTTTGTCCAGAATACAGTTTTAGGGTTAAATAAACAAAAGGATTGTAAACATATTATTGGATTAAGATTGGAGATTTATTTCTGATTTACCACTGTTTTAAGTCACTAATTAAATTGGATTTACAGTATATCATTCATTAATGAAATATTACACGAATTCAATTTGAAACATACAATTGAGATACTGGTTGGAATTTACCAGTTTATTTACCAAGTCACATTAACAATAATTTTAACAATCCTTCTCCAATTCAAAATGAGCAAAAAGGGTGTAACTAGTTCATGAATCGTCGTCTTTCCTTTAAAAAAAAATCAGCAAAATATCACCCTATGGTATTGTTTAATGAAAGCATAAACATTTATATAATTGTTTTATTTTGGTTAATAAAATCATGGCTGTCATTTCCTGTAACATTTTCTTCTTTTTCCTGTTCTCATCTGGCATATTCTCAGGAGGACATGTACAGGTCAGGAGCTTGTGGAATGGCTGATGGATCGTTGTGAGTTTATCCAGAACAGGTCAATAGCTTCCAAAATCTGGAACATTCTTCTGGACTTGGGCATGTTGCTTTCAGGTACACAGACAAAATTAAAACAGATACTGTGAATGAACAGATTGTAGAGTTTGGATGATTTATTGATTTTATTATAAGGAATTAAATGGATTCTGAATCTGCAGCACATCCCGGCTCCCTCTGAGGTGCCTGATTAGAAAATAACATTTACATAAGCTTTGTCTAGACTGATTCATGTCAGATGTTTGACCCTGTTGTGTCCAGTGGAGCAGAACAATGTATTTGAGGACTCCAGGTGTCTGTACCAGTTCACCTTTGAGGAATGTGAAGCCCAGAGCTGTGATTTCCGAAATCAGGTCAAGTGGCCGAGTGCAGTACACCTACTGCTAGAGCTGGTCCCATACGTGCAGCCTCGCAGTGGAACCCACAGGCGGTGAGCATACGGTTACACATTAAAGCTTAATGATAGTGTTTTTTCTTAGGTCAAAGGTCATTAAATATTTTGTCCTTTATGATTGTACAGCTTAATTGCGTTTTAATTTACTATCCAGTGCTAACAGAACGTGCCTGGACCTGTAAACAACCATTACTGATTACCTAAGCAGTGCTAAACGTATATAAAAGAGGCTTTTAATTACTAAAGAAGTTGTGACCATTTACCCTTTGGGTTGCTTTTCTTGGCTTGGGATCCAAAAGGTTATTGAGGCTTTCTCTCTCAGTGGACCTCAGCTGAGGGTCTGGATTGAGCAAAATTCTGAATTTAAGAATTGGCTGCCTTTCAATTCGTGAGTGTTTAAAGGGATTTGGAATTTGAATTGGAGTGACATGAAGTGACATTTACTAAATTACAATGCATTCAAAGAAATTGAACACGTAGGACTGGGAAATGAAGAGGCATCTCTCTGTCTGTCTGTCTGTCGGTCAATAAACTTTTAAAAACTTTTTGAGTTTGGTTGTTTTACTCTTTCAAATAAGGCTGTCTAATAGAGTGCAACAGCGCCAGACCAATTTAAATACAAAGGTGTATAAGGCTGTGTTCCTAAAGGAGTAGTTCACTTTAAAAAAAACAAACAAAAAAACGTTTGCTGATAATTTACTCACCCTCATGTCATTCTTTCTTCAGTCGAAAAGAAATTAAGGTTTTTGAAAACATTCCAGGATTTTTCTCCATATAATGGACTTTACTGGTAACCAAACGGTTCAAGGTCAAAAAGACGATTCCAGACGATGAATAAGGGTCTTATCAAGCGAAGTGATCGCTCATTTAAAAAAAGTTTTATGAGCTCAAATGGTCGCCTTGCTCTGTTCTGTGATGTGCGTTCGTGACTCTCCTGTTCGAACTCGTTCATCAAAATGAAAATTTTTTTTTTTAGTCATTTGGTTCATTCAACCAATGAAATGAACGAATTGACTCAGAAAAATATTTGTTCATTTTGATGAACAAGTTCGAACAGGAGAGTCACACAGAAGAGCAAGGCGAGCATTTGAGCTTATAAAACGTAAACTTTGTTATTTATTTATTAAATGAGCGATTGTTTCGCTTGATAAGACCCTTATTCATCGTCTGGAATCGTTTAAAGCCCTTTGAACAGTTTGCAGTTTGCACTGAAAGTGTCTTTTGGACCTTGAACCGTTTGGTTCCCGTTGAAGTCCATTATATGGAGAAAAATCCTGGAATATTTTCATCAAAATCCTTAATTTATTTTCGACTGAAGAAAGAATGACATGGATATCTTGGATGACATGGGGGTGAGTAAATTATCAGCAAAAGTTTTTTTTAAAAGTGAACTAATCCTTTAACAGCTTAGTGAGGGAAATAACTACAATTCCATGAAGCACTGCAAACAACATAATCAAATAAATAAATTTAAAAAAAAAACTAATATGGGATTATAAAACTACTGAATTAAAATTGATTATATCTATAGAAACAACATTTTACGTTTATTGCAAAATACCCATATAGACCATTTTGGTCCAGAAAACACTGGTCCAGAAACACTTCCTGTTTCAGTTTGTAACTGTTTTCTTTACTTCATATCTAAAGAAAACATCTTAAAGATGTTTGTTTAACTTTTTGATTCAGTTTTATATGTTCTGTTGGTTGTATTTTATCCCAGCTTTTATGTAGTGTTAAACTGAAACAGGAAGTGCTTCTTGACCAGTGTTGTTTACATCTTGCAAAATGGTCTATACATGCAAATATTTAGACGGAGCTAAAGAGCTCTTTTGGTGTGGTTTGCTTGTTTCGACTCGGATTGCTGGACACTGTTAAACACGGTCATTTAAAAAGTATGTTGAAATAATGCGGACTAACAGCTTTAACATAAGCATCTACCATCGATTAACAACCTCGTTGCTCATAGTAGGGCTATCTAAAAAGGTTTCTAAGTTATCAATACATTATTTTTTTTTTACTTCCGTAAGCTGACGTCTTAATGACAGGCGTCGTTTAACATTGTTAAAATGGACAGTTGTTGGGTTTATATGAATTAATACGTCATCCCTGCAGCACTCTATGATGACACAATTTTTATTTTTGGATGAATTATCCTCATAAAAAATTACAATAGGCAATTGCGGTTTGACATAATCTGCAAACCATATTTTTAATAATAAAATCAATGACCTGTAATCTGGACAGGGCTTGTAGATGATAAAGGCCAACTGTGGCAGGGAAATGATTCAGTATCTTTCCGTATCGTCAGCTGCAGTTCCAGCCTTCACCAGCAGATGTCTGTGTGACAGTGCTCATCCGAGTGCATGCCAGACAAATGATTTTGCTCCAGGCTCTGTCTCACTTTCAGATATGCAGACATACCCAACCTGTTCAGAGTGCTGCCTCAGTGCTTTTGACCTTTCACAGTCTGTCAAAGCACATCTCATCAGTTTACTGACATGTTTTGTTTGTGCATCTAAGGTTTATGATATCACATTCAGATTTTGTATATTTTATGTAGCCAATATTTTCTATAGGAAATATTGTCAGGGCAAGTTGAAGTCTGAAATACTGGTCTGACCATAAAAAGTCTTTACTGTTTAGCCTGGCTTGCATGCTTTACCTCTTATGAGCTGCAAATAATGTGTGCAGGGCCTCACTTAATCAGATCTATGACGTTTTAGCACTTTGGTACATAGTACGTAAGCAGGGGGTCAGTGGACGCAAATGGAAGTTGAGCTATAGGTCATGTATATGCATCATGTCCTGTCTGCTGGGAAAGTCAGTCAGGTTCTGCCCTAGTGGCTTTGTCGAGGCAGGATGTCCATCTTTATTGAGATCAGACCTGTTTCGGTCCCTCTGTCTGCACCTCCATGTGGCCCGAATAAAGGAGTAGTTCACTTTTATAAAAACTTTTGCTGATAATTTACTCACCCCCATGTCATCCAAGATATCCATGTCTTTCTTTCTTCAGCCGAAAATAAATTAAGGTTTTTGATGAAAACATTCCAACATCTTTCTCTGTATAATGCACTTTACTGGGTGGGAACCAAACGGTTCAAGGTCCAAAAGACAGTTTCAGTGCAAACTGTTCAAAGGGCTTTAAATGATTCCAGACAATGAATAAGGATCTTATCAAGCGAAACTATCGCTCATTTAAAAAAAAAAAGTTTAAGTTTTATAAGCTCAAATGGTCGCCTTGTTGTGATGCGCGTTCGTGACTCTCCTGTTCGAACTCGTTTATCAAAATTAATGAATCTTTTTTCGTGTCATTTGGTTAATTCAACGAACGAAAAAAACGAATTGACTCGGAAAAAGATTTGTTCATTTTGATGCATCACAGAACAGAGCAAGGTGAGCATTTGAGTTTATAAAACATAAACTTTGTTATTTTTTTTTTTAAATGAGCAATCGTTTCGCTTGATCGTTTAAAGCCCTTGGAACAGTTTGCACTGAAACTGTCTTTTGGACCTTGAACCGTTTGGTTCCCACTGAAGTGCATTATACGGAGAAAAATCCTGGAATGTTTTCATCAAAAACCTTAATTTCTTTTCGACTGAAGAAAGAATGACATGGACATCTTGGATGACATGGGGGTGAGTAAATTATCAGCAAATTTTTTTTTAAAAGTGAACAACTCCTTTAAGCTTTCAAAATGCAAGATTTACCAAATGAATTGTATGCCATGTATTGTGATTTAATTGATTTTTTTAATGATTTTTTTTTTTGCTGAATAAAAATATAAATTTCTTGAAAAAATAATCTTTTGCAAACATTCAAAAGTTTACTTTTTATGTTTTTTAACAAATCAAGTCACTCCACATAACAATTACAAACGTGAACTATCCATGCAATTTGTATATTCTGTAATAAATAATGATAAAACATTGCACAAAACCTTTTGACTATATGTCACCAAAAATGATTTTAATCAAGAAATCTTTTAAAATATGTTTATCATAAAAAAAGTGTATTTGTCTCACTTTATGTAAAAATGGTACATGTATAAGTAATGCTATGTAATTGACCCATTAACATGGTACCATGTCCAAAAAACAAACATGGTAAATTGATATTAAACTGTGTTTTATGCTATTCTGTAGCTGTAAAGAAGATGCAGCGAAACCATCTGATGCTTGTAACCCAGTTCTTCAAATGAAAGCATTGGAGCATCTCACCTCTACGGTAAGAAAATGTATTGCGTTATCTCATGAGCTTTTTTCCAAATCTTGCCTTTAGGAAATTTTAAGAGCAGTTTCTTGCCTAATCAAACATCCAGTGAACCTGTCTTTGTCTGTTTTTTTTAAACCACTCACTACTCAAAGGTTTAGTACAGAGCATTTTCACTTGCTCAGAAACCCTCTGACACCTGCGCTCTGTCTATTTGAAAGCCATAGCTCTGGTGTAATGACTGAATCAGTACATTGCTGTGTCCATGTGGCATGTGCTTAGCTTCCAGCTATCAAGGTAATGGCCTGTGCACCTGCAGTCACCTTGGCAACAGAAATATACGGCCACTTCCTGAGATCGTCGTTTGCATTTGACGCACTGTGGAACTGATGATGCTCACCTTTGTATTGCTGTGTTCAGCTGAACAGTTGAGATTCTCAGTTTGATGGCTTAATCAATGTACTGTAAAATACTGTATCATGTAGCTTGGGGTTGTGTTTAGGATTTAGTGCAAGACCTAATAATAAAACCAGCAAAAACATAATTTGCAGCAATGTTCACTGGATGCTTGCCAAGTTTAGGATGATCACTTGAGTACTTAAGTTTAAAAAATAAAAATAAAAGAAATATATATTTATTTGCCAATGTATTTGTTACCTGACCACCATGATCAATGCAATGTGCATCCCTAATTATAATGTTTTAAATCCATCCATCCATCCATCCATTTATGTCTATCTGTCCATCCATCTGTCTGTCCGTCCATACATCCATCCATCCATCCATCCATTTATGTCTATCTATCCATCTGTCCATCCATCTGTCTGTCTGTCCATCCATCCATCCATCCATTTATGTCTATCTATCCATCTGTCCATCCATCCCCATCTGTCTGTCCGTCCATACATCCATCCATCCTTTTGTCTGTCTATCCATCCATCATCCATCTGTCCATCCATCTGTCTGTCCATCCATCCATCCATCCTTTTTTCTGTCTATCCATCCATCATCCATCCATCCATCCATCCATCCTTTTGTCTGTCTATCCATCCATCATCCATCTGTCCATCCATCTGTCTGTCCATCCATCCATCCATCCATCCATCCTTTTTTCTGTCTATCCATCCATCATCCATCCATCCATCCATCCTTTTGTCTGTCTATCCATCCATCATCCATCCATCCATCCATCTATCCATACATCCTTTTGTTTGTTCATCCATCCATCCATCCATCCATCCTTTTGTCTGTCTATCCATCCATCATCCATCCATCCATCCATCCTTTTGTCTGTCTATCCATCCATCCATCCATCCATCCATCCATCCTTTTGTCTGTCTATCCATCCATCATCCATCTGTCCATCCATCTGTCTGTCCATCCATCCATCCATCCATCCATCCATCCTTTTTTCTGTCTATCCATCCATCATCCATCCATCCATCCATCCTTTTGTCTGTCTATCCATCCATCATCCATCCATCCATCCATCTATCCATACATCCTTTTGTTTGTTCATCCATCCATCCATCCATCCATCCTTTTGTCTGTCTATCCATCCATCATCCATCCGTCTATACATCCATCCATCCATCCTTTGTCTGTCTATCCATCAATCCATCCGTCCATCCATCTATCCATCCATCGTCCATCCATCCATCCTTTTGTCTGTCTATCCATCTGTCCATCCATCCATTTATGTCTATCTGTCCATCCATCCATCTGTCTGTCTGTCCGTCCATCCATCCATCCTTTTGTCTGTCTATCCATCCATCCGTCCATACATCCATCCTTTTGTCTGTCTATCCATCCATCATCCATCTGTCTATACATCCATCCATCCTTTTGTCTGTCTATCCATCCATCCATACATCTATCCATCCATCATCCATCCATCCATTTATGTCTATCTGTCAATCCATCCATCTGTCTGTCTGTCCGTCCATCCATCCATCCATCTGTCTGTCCGTCCATACATCCATCCATCTTTTTGTCTGTCTATCCATCCATCATCCATCCGTCCATTCATCCATCCATTTATGTCTATCTGTCAATCCATCCATCTGTCTGTCCTTCCATCCATCCATCCATCTGTCTGTCCGTCCATCCATCCATCTGTCTGTCCGTCCATACATCCATTCATCTTTTTGTCTGTCTATCCATCCATCATCCATCCGTCCATTCATCCATCCATTTATGTCTATCTGTCAATCCATCCATCTGTCTGTCCGTCCATCCATCCATCTGTCTGTCCGTCCATACATCCATCCATCTTTTTGTCTGTCTATCCATCCATCATCCATCCGTCCATTCATCCATCCATTTATGTCTATCTCTCAATCCATCCATCTGTCTGTCCGTCCATACATCCATCCATCCTTTTGTCTGTCTATCCATCCATCATCCATCCATCCTTTTGTCTATCCATCCGTCCATACATCTATCCATCCATCATCCATCCATCCATTTATGTCTATCTGTCAATCCATCCATCTGTCTGTCTGTCCGTCCATCCATGCATCCATTCTTTTGTCTGTCTATCCATCTGTCCATCCATCCATTTATGTCTATCCATCCATCTGTCTGTCCGTCCATACATCCATCCTTTTGTCTGTCTATCAATCCATCATCCATCCGTCCATATATCCATCCATCCTTTTGTCTGTCTATCTATCAATCATCCATCCGTCCTTACATCTGTCCATCCATCCATCCGTCCATACATCTGTCCATCCATACATCTAACCATCCATTCCTATGTCTTCGTCTGTCTATCTGTTTGTCCATCCATCAGTTCATCAGTCAATTTATCCCTCCATCTATCCATCCATCCCTCCCTCCAAATAAATCATGGGTATAATAGCCAACTTATGAAAATTGGGGAAGACATCAATCATATTCCCACAGTAAATGACGCCAATAGTCATGTACAGAATTCATTTATTTAGGTTATTAGTGGAAACATTTACTTAGAGCAGATCATTTGTTGTTGGCCTGTATGGGGTCACAGTGGCATAGATCCCAGTCCAACCCCATTTACATTAGCCCTGAGTCTGTGCACTCAGATGGCCCCATAGGACATGTTGATTTAATGGGCCACTAAGCACAGTTAAATCTCTCCACTACACACCTGGTTTACTAATGCATAGAACTGCCATGGTCAGACAGCAGATGGGCTCCCCCCTCATAAGTGATTTTATTTCAGATGCTTTATGGATTGGATACATTTGTATTCATAGTGTGCCATGTGCCGTGGGATTTTAATGTAAAGTCCCTTCCTCAGTTTGCAGACAGATCAGAAATAGATCACTTGAAATTTGAGTCAAGTTTTTATAGATCCTCAAAGGAATAACGCAACAGTTGGGAAATCAAAGGCAGTCATGCTAAAAGAATAAGTAATGCAGTCTTCTTTTATAACCTTGCCAAAAAAAAACCTTACAAGAGAGAAGTAAAACTTTTAAAGTTAAGTGCTGAACTTGTTGATGCGACGCTTCAAAGCGTTATGGATCTCTTCAAATCACAAACCCACAGAATAGCTTCTCAAGCAGCAAGTTGTGAACAATAAAATATGCTTGCATTAAATGGTTTCGAGCCCATTATGCCTGCATATTTGAAAGAACGAACTAAACCATGATCTTCTCTTTTAATAGGTGCAGAATGAACTGTGTGCAGCTTTGGCTCGCAAGGCACAGACTAAATCAAGTAAGGATTATTCTGTGTTACATGGCTTGATTGTGTTTTTTTCCCCCCAATAAACATGGACAATCAGTTTCCAGTGTTTTGCTTGTTTTTGAATATTAAGTTTAAAAAACAACAACAATGTATTGGCCTATATTCTTTGCTTCTTTAAAATAAAAATTAAAAATAGACTGAATAATATATAAAACACTACTTTAAATAACACTGTTCGAACTCAACACTAGTGGATAAAGTTTCAGAAAGAGACCGTTCTCATTGAGGCCTCATTTGAAAGTGGTGTTAATTGGGGAAAGGCAAAAAGAATACGGGCAAAATCTTCGTAACTGGTGTAGAAATAGACATAAATGGGTCAAACTAGTGGAAATAAACAGAGTAAACAACTCATCTATTCAGACAGCACCACTTTTGGTCCAAATCGATGAACAGTTTTGTCAGCGAACTGGTTTTTAGTGACCACTGAGCTACAATTAAAGCTACAGTACAGTCACCTGTGCTATTTAGCAAGGATACATAAATGACTAATATTCATGAAAAAGTGGTAATGCTTCACTAGGTCCAGTTTGTTTATGAAAATGACCCATATAGGTTTTTTTATTCATATTTATTACTTCAAGTTAAACTAAACAGAAATTAGAAATGTTGCTTTGGCAGTTAGCTGAAATAAAATATGTTTAAGGGTTTTCTTAAATTGTTTAATTTTATTTAATGTTGATTTTGGATGGAAAAGTTTTTGTTTTTTTATAAATGTTTGTTTTTTTAAAAAAAATAGTTTGTTTTAAAAGATAATAACCTAACTTAACCCTAATGCACCAAACTTAACTCTAATGTTAAGTGTTATTATAGCATCTTACTATAAACATACCATAAAATTGTTTTTTTCTTTCTTTTCTTTTCTTTCTTTTCTGTGTGTAAGGTTAATGATGTCTCACATGAACTGAAACATGAATCTATATTGCTAAAAAAAAAGAAAGAAGCATAAACCCAGGCAGCACACGACACTGCACTGATTCTCAGCTGTAAATTTCTTGTTTTCCAGTGATGGAGGAGAGCAGTCCACAACATAATACTAACACGCAAGGACCATCTCCCAGTCCTGCTGTGCGCAAGGTAATGAGAAAACAGATTCCTTGGCAGCTGGCTTTACATTGACAGTGTGTGTATGTATTGGTGTGCATATGTTTTGCTGAGCTCACCAGCTGTCCTGCTTGCCCGGGGCTGTCCATACATCCCCTGATTGAGCACTGCCTTCCCGCAGCTCAGTCATCAGTAGAAAGCCCTTGAACTGGCAGAAAGAGAAAGAGCCTGTGATTGGTAATAGATGGATACTCTATACTGTGTGTCAGGACAGAGCCTTGTGCTTGTCTGTGAGGCTCTCATCTGTTCCAGCACGGTGTAATAGCTGATGGTTCACTGCAGCACATCTGACGAAACTGTGATCAAGACAACACAATAGCAGTGCTTCACAAGGACAAACAGTGCTGTACAGATTGTAACATATACATCATATTATCAGAGTGAACTGTTGGCTCGCAAATGATTTTGCTTCGACTGGTTTGCCTTAAGCGGCAGTCTGAACATAGAACCAAAATAGTTTATCGTACAAAAGTAAACAAAATGTCTTTAAAATCAAACACTGAGATTTATTAGTATAACCATGAACTGCTTACCAATATTATTTGAAGCCCATAAACTGTATATTGGCTGATATTAGATCTAAGTTTTAAGACGAGAACAACAAATGCACAGTCTACAGTAGATCTCTACGTGTTTCAAAATACACCCAACATAATGTACACTGGAAAAGTTTTAGAAATTTTCATCTGGGCAGCAGTAGTACTATGTATGTGTGTGCGTGTGTTTGTTTTATTTTATTCATTTATATAATATTCATATCCAATTGGACTCAGCTGATTATATTTATATATATATATAAAATGTTTTTGCCCCCATTTTTCAAGAGCTGAACTCTGTGTACGCAAAAGGCCTATTTCTCAAATATTGTCCACCAATCTGTCCAAATCTGTGTTATGCCTGGTTCAGATTACACGGTTTTAGCCCGATTTTGGCACGATCTGTTTGACGTAGGGTGTCATGGGGATTCGTAAACGACAACGGGCTTCAAGACACAAGAATCGGTCGTATCATCTCGTATAGTGTGTCATAGTAGGCGACAACCTACGTCGCGTCTGCGATGCTTCACGACAAAAAAGACTAGCATGTTTAATTTTTTTAACGGTCGTCCACCACGGTTCCGTCACATGTATGAGGTTGACCAATAGGAGCACAAGCTTTTCCGTATACAACTTTCAAAAAAGACCAAACGAAAGAGAGACGGTGGTGCTAACGTTAAAACTAGAAGTAAAAATATATAAGAAAACTATATTTTACCTCAAGTTCTCTTTGGAGGATTGACAGCCCATACTGTCCTCTTCGAGCAGGGTTCTCAAGTCTCACGCAATGGCCGTGAGACACGCGCAATTCAACCAGTTCACACACTCACACGCCACACTGTGTATTTCTCACGCTGAAAAGGCAATGCCGAGCAATCCAGGAAGTCACTCGCTACGAGTTTCCCTTCTCGATGACATCATCGAGAAGGGAATATCAAACCAGACAGTTTCTGGTCTCATTGACTTCCATAGTATATATTTTTTTTCCTACTATGGAAGTCAATGAGACCAGAAACTGTCTAGTTACTGATATTCTTCTAAATATCAGAAAATCGGCTGAATACATTCGAAAATGGTAAAACCCAACTGTTTAACTCTGGGGGGTTGGTAAAATGAGCCTATTTCCAAAAACGTGGAGTATCCCTTTAACATTCTGATTAATAAGGCTAAATGCAGATGAAAAAAGGTCCTGTCAACAAACTTGTTTATTTGAATTGAAAGAGTACCTGTATGACAGATACAAATAGTATTTGCTGCATTCTTGTTTTCTGCAGTTGTTTTGGCAAAAGCATTAATCTATTTTGCTGTTCACTTTTTTTTTTGTTTTTACTGTTGTTAAAATAACCTCATCATCAGCATAGCGAAAGCAAAGATATTGGATATAGCTCGTTTGGCTCTTGTCTAGATAAAAATGAGAGGATATAGCGCTGAAAGATCATTACCATAAACAGCCCTGATCACTTGTGTGAACCACTCCATTGTTTTGGCGTGCTTCTCAAATGAAACTGTAGAAACTGTATAATGGTGTCAACGTTGTCCTTATGTCTCGTGGTCCAGTTAGAACCAAGCCTTGTTTATACCCTTGATTTCAAATATAAGGCCATTTCTAACTATGCACGATTATGTGATTAGGAGCGCTCAGCTTTGTTTTAGACACTATCAGACCATGCTACAATATTTTGGTTCAGTTGAGAACTGCTGGTAGTCTTGAATTGGAGTGTAAGCTTTTGTTTTCGTAATATATTATAGATATGAAGTGGTTTTCAGTTTTGTATTTATAATGAAAAAAGAAAACGGTCAATTAGCCTGATCATGTTTGAAAGCTCCCATGGACATTAGTTTTGTTATGTTTGGATTGGATATGTTATCTTAATTGCTTATCATTGGGCCTTTTTCTGGTAATTCACTCTTATCAGGTTTATGCTATTAGTATAGTTCAATCCAACTGCCCATTGTTTTCTATATTCTTCCCTGCACTGAAGTGCTGAAGAATGTCAGGGACGCAGCTTGTGTTGAATTTGTCTAGCATGAGGTTTGATTCCTTATATAGCCAGCTGAGTTGATATGGAAATAGTTGAGTGTGTTCAGGACAAATTCCTCTCTCCTTCCCTTACATCAGAGAATGAGGTCACAGGTTTCTCCTCTGGACATGTGGCATTTGCCATTGTTTCTAAATGGAGAGGTAAATTTACACAGGATACATCGTCAAATACAATCTAAAAATTTAGATAATTAATTTGTAACTTTATAGATTATTCCTGATCTATTGCATTTGGTCGATCAGTGGTTTATTCTGCCATTTTGAAGGGAACTGACTTTGACCTTATGCGCCAGAGAAACAAGTGTGCAGCCGTCTTTAGAATTTTGTATTTGAACTTCCGTTGCCGTTGAAGAACTATCGCATCGCTGTTGAAGAGGTATTTGCTGGTGGAGTAGATTTACTTATTGTAGAGTTAACAAAATAAAGTTATCATGAGCGTTGTAATGTTTGAAGTGGATGTCATAACAAATGTCAGTAGACCGGGATGATTTTAAAAGCGTTTTTATATACGATTTTAAAACGATCTTAACTTCATGCTGTGGAAATACAAACTGGAAGCTAAAAGGGGGCGGGGCTACATAAGTTCTATATCCACTAAAATCACCTTAAAATTAATTGTAAAAAAAAAGTTAAATGAGATGTGAGAAATGGGACCGTTATTTGTTTGCTATTTTCCCCCAATTTTCTTCAATGAAGTTAATTATTAAGTGTGACTAAAAGGGATAGTTCACCCAAAAAGGAAAATTGTGATCATTTACTCACCTTAAAGTGATCGTAAAAGATCTGTATTAATGTCTTTGTTTTTGTTTTTTACTCCATACTATGGATGTCAATGCTCGTTAATGTCATCATCTGTTTTGTTACCCACATTTTTTATATATTGTTTTGTGTTTAACACAATAAATAAATTCATACAGGTTTTGAACAATTTGAGGTTGAGTAAATGATGACAGAAATTTCATTTTTGAGTGAACTAACCACATTATGTGGGTCAGTGACATACCATTTGTGACTGATCACGGAAAGGGACACAAGTCGGTTCTGGGTCATTTTGAGTTATTCACGGATTCTGAAAGTGTAGTCTCCAAGCTTTCCAACGATGTGTAATGAAATCTGTTAATATCTGGATACGTTGTGGCCGTTTAAAGGTAGGCACTCAAAAAAGCTCAAAGATGAGAAAACGGCCTCTAAAGATTGTGGAGTTTTCACCTCTCTCTCCTGCTGGGAGTGACATTAGGGCTCATTTACATCTCATTTAGATAAGACATACCCCCTGTAAAGCTGTAAAGCACAGGGGGGAGCAACAAGGTCAGGAAAATGTGCCATCAAAGAAAAAAAAAGTTTGCAAACAGGTAAGAGGTAATATATAAATTAATGTCTCTTAGCATCTACCGATAAAACTGTATAAGCAACTCGTATGTACACTAAATAAAAGATAAGATCTAGAGCAGGGGTCTCCAACCTTTTTTCATTTGAGAGCTACTTTTTAAAAATGAAAGTGTCCGAGAGCTACTCATGTAATACAATACTTAAATCTCTTAAATAATGTCTTATAACTCTCATATTAATAGCTATCCAAACTGTTTTAGACCTAAAAGAGTTTTTGTAGGACTATATATGTCACCCTTAAATTACAGATATACATTTTTTTTTGAAAATTGAACTTTGCATATTATACTGTAATTACAGTCAATTATTAAATCAATTATAAAATCAACTATAGTTGATTTTATAGTGCATTTTCTATGGATCTAATATTTTTTCAAAAACATATTAAAAAGGCAATTAATAATACGAAGACTTTTTGCAAAATAAAGTAAAAAAATGACTGGGTGATACAACAGTCCTGATATCATAATGTCATACAAATTCCTGAAAAGAAACACCTTGAAAAGATAATAATTTTTAATTACTATTTCTTAAAAATGAACAAATGACAAAACTATTGCACTGTTAATTTTTTGATAACTTGTCAAAAAACAAAATTAAAAACAATGTCATGTAGTGCAAAAAAAACAAAGTCATATGGTTCAACCAACGAGGAGAAAAGGAAAAGGAAATTATGTCATAAAGAGGAGCTAGACCCTTATGATTGTGCATCAAGATCAGGAAGTTTCTACAAATATCTGACCTTTTTATGAAAAGGTCAAGATTACGGTAGTTCAAGCTCTAAAATGTCACGTTTGTTGACCCTGCCTTTATTCACGTGATGTATTCAAGGAAAATATGTTATTACTTTTTTGACATTTTTAGTCATTACATCGAAACTTTTGCTGAAAATTGTGTAAATGTTTTCATAAAATCATATGAAACCAGCAAGAATACACATTTCTAAGAACTTGTACCTGCTATTTAAACTAGATTTTGAAAAGATTTTCTTTACTGCAGACACTCTTATTTGTCATAGATGCATATAATATTTGCAAGATGCCAAGTTGCTAGCACATGACCTTATGAATCACTTGAACTTAGATGATATACAAACAGTGCACATGATCGGTAACCCATCAGTAACCTGCCCTAGACCTCATGCTGGCCTTTCTCCCATTTTCTGGAGATTGTGATACTTCCTATTCAGGATTGGAGGGACTGCCAGATGTTTCCTGGTCACCCCCACCCTGGCTATGTGCGTAAGACAGAGAGAGAGAGAGAAAGAGAGAGAGAGAGAGAGAAGTCAGGTTCACTCTCCCCCTCAGGCAACACTGTCTCAGAGTCTTCACGTTTGAGAGCTTTCCTCTTGACCGGTTGTGTGCTTCTGGAGCTCACTAAACCCTCAGGACTAGCGTGACCATCTTCAGTCTCACCTGAGTAAAGAGACAGCTGGAGGAGACAGTGGGACTGATTGTCAAACTGTGTTGCAGTCTCATGGCGTGGGACTGTGGCCTGAGGTATGTGTTTTCTGTGTCCCCTGCACTGCAGCAGGGCCCCGGGGCTGGTACACGCGATAAAGAGGATATCAGCCGATTGGAGATGGTCCAGAGACTGGCCAAAGACGGATGCCGGCTTCTACACAGCCCGCTTAGAGCCACCGAAAGGCCCGCTGAGGTGAGATTCAAACTAACGTTCATGCATCAATCAGTCCACACACTGTTATTAGTATTATTATTAGGGTCTGTTTTCAACTTTGGGCTCTTTTGGAAACTTCAGTAATACGGCTAGTATTTTAAATACAAAGTAAATGCAATTAAATTATTTTTATGCTTTTAATTTGAAAAAAAAATTACATCCTTGTTAAAATTACTTTATTAGTAGCGAAATTGTAGTTCCTGAAATAAAATCATGTAATATTACAATGTTTTCTGTTTATTTCACTCTTTGTTTAGACTATTCTGTTTTTCTTTTTATGTAATGATTCCAATTTTTTAAATGGATTTTCATATTTTATGATCGAACGTCTGGGTGACGGACGTGGGTAAAACAATTAAATCTATAAAAAACAAAAACAATCTATAAATCTATATATATAGTAAATAATCATTGTATTTCGAATTTTTCGAAAACATTCGAATGGCATTTATAGTCAATGTCATGCATATTTAGTTTTTTGGTAGCACTTGACAATTTGTTGTTTTGTTGTGTGTATTTGTTCAGAAAAGGTATTCTTTTATATTATAACAACTATTTTGTTGTGGTTTGTGAAGCAGCACCCTTATATGTTGATTGATATCATTATTTAAAAAGAAAATTCATTGTTTGATGTCACTTTTTATCATTGAATCTGTTTTCAAATCTAAAGCTGGTTCAGGAGAGACTTTCTAAAACCAAAAAGGGCACCAATCTCATGCTAGTCTCTGATTGGTTGATCCCACAATAGTCCCAGTTGCCTCTTCCTGATGGCGGGCGGCCACTCACAATGACAGGAAGAGTTGATGTGAGCCCCATAAAGGTTGCTGGCAACCAATCACTTCTCCTGCTCTGGGTGTCATGCCGTTCTTTCTGGGAGATATATTTATTTGACCTTTTTGAGACAAAAGTAGAATTGTCCTTAATTTGACCTATTACCATGATAAGGAACTTAAATATTGATTTAAGACAAACCACTTGTAATGTGTTGTCTTAATCAAAAGCTATTTTGATCCAAATCCTTTTTGAGAATTTGAGGCTGGGCTCAGAAGTTTTGCGTTGTTAGCAAGTAGTTAGGGTTAATAGTGGGAGTTTAACCGTTTTTGAATCCATTCAGACGATTTTCTGATATTTAGAAGAATGTCAGTAACCAGACAGTTTCTGGTCTCATTGACTTCCATAGTATTTTTCCTACTATGGAAGTCAATGAGACCAGAAACTGTCTGGTTACTGACATTCTTCTAAATATCAGAAAATCGTCTGAATGGATTTGAAAACGGTAAAACTGTTTAACTCTGGGGGAGTGGTAAAATGAGCCTATTTCCAAAAAAAAAAAAAAGTGGAGTATTCCTTTAAGGGGATATGAAATGAAATCTGCCAATGAAATCTGCGATGGAGTCCAGACCTTCTGCCGTCAGTCTGAAGGTCTGGCTATGCAAGACTTTTTATGGTATAGGCCCCAGGTAATACAGAGAAAGAGTAAACATTGTTCATTTATTGTACTTTTACTACCGACATTGATTGCAACAATACGAAGAGGGTTGACAATTGGCAATTGGTCTTACGGGGTTGGAATTACATTAAGTAAGTGAGTAATTACTGACAAAATGTTCAATTTCGGGTGAACTATCCCTTTAAATACATAGGCTATTAATTCAGATTTTTTATAATAAAGCTATCTTTTGTTGTTTTAATGACAACATTAATGACAGACACATATGGCTGCTGTCACTTTTAGAGCTAATGGACGGATTCATTACGGGTTTCATTACACTGGCTGTCACACTGTTACATGCGCAAATCTTATTTAAGACTTAAACGACTTTGTTTACGAGTATACGAACCAAGACCGTAATTTTGACCCAATTTTGCACGTTTTTTGCCATTAAAGCAATGAAAAGTAACTTTTGTATGCACACAGAAAAACCATCTCTCACAGAGCATGCGATTACTGTAGTTTAAAATTGCTTGAATGTTTAAACTCATAAGACTTAAAAAGACATGAAAATTATAAACTATAGTTACGATGCACTGCTGACCCGATTGTGCAAGTGACATTCCGTCATGTCCCGACTACTAAACGCGAGAGTGTAATATCGTCACCTGCAGCGCTTGTGCAACCCATTTTGAGAGACGAGAGAGAGAAGACGCATGCGCCATACGTCATTGCGTCACTATATCATTGATATAGAGCATCACAGTCCCGCCCACAGCTCGAGAGAGCGCTGGTGCCGTAAGTAAATTTCCCATTCATTTCTCCCATTGACATTTTGTAAAATCCATATCTAAAGAGTATTAGAGCATGTCTGAGGATAATCAGCTACGGCTGAACTCATAAGCATACAACACATCATTTCGAGTGAAAAAACGAAGAGAAAATCCAAAAAAAGTCGAGGGTACAAGCCTGTGTACATATTTTCATTTCCGAGCAAAGGAACTACTCCTCCCATAAACCACCGCTCCTCACTGAAGTCGTCTGAAAACCACCGTGAAAGAGCCTTTTGAGCGACTTCCAAATCTGACGACGGGCATGTGAACTTTTTCCTCCTGTGAATTTTATATAGTGAATGTACAGGGAAACCCCTTTTCCTCGATTTACTGAAGCAAACGCATTTGCAGCTCAACATGCAAAAACATTGAGTATCTGACTCGCTCATTAGTTAAGCTGTGGCAAATGCACATCCAATGGCGCGCGGGCGTCTCAGAAGTGCGACCAATGAACTTAGCCCTACGTTATCAGGCGATCTTCAGTCTTCACGTACCTTCGCGGGGTTTCAGACACGTGACACGACTTCCAACAATCAGATGCATCACTGTTGGATTGTGGGATTGTTTAGGATTGTGGGTAATGAAGTACTTATCCAATACATCGCGAATAAAAGGCATTTATCTTAAAACAAGGTTAGTGCCCCATGAACTTTTGGCGTTTATATGAGCATATACAATCGCTTAGTACAGCCGTAGCTGGTTTTAAGTCTACCATTTATGGTTACGTTTTTATGGCTTATATCTCAAATGTCAATGTAGAAATTGTATTGAATTTTTACTTCCGGCACCGGCTGTGGGCGGGACTGTGATGCTCTATTGCGATTACACTTTTTTTTTTATCATGTAAAAATGTATACCGGTGTTATCGTAGATGGTATGATATGGCACACCCCTACGCAAAATGCATCATTCTGCATAATTTTGACAGTGAAAACCACAGATTGTACTTCCGCATTTTTGTATCACCGCTCGCAGATATTCAGATCGACAACTTACTCCCGCTAAACTCTTTGAATTCTTTTTGCGGGGAACATCACAATTTGACACCATTATGACTAAAAGTTTGCTAAGAGGTATTTTCTACTAAAGCAAGGCTGTATTTGACTCGGTAAGCGTATCCATGGCAGTCTGGTGAGAGTCCCTTGTACTGCAACATGCCCAGTTCCAATTCTAATATATCATAACATTATGATCCATCTTTAATGATCGGATTCATGGTTGTTTAATTGTGTGTATATGGAACAGTTCATTCTGACATTTTCAGATTATGTTGACAATTATGCATCAGACTTGAAACCGATTACTTTTTGGTGTCGGAATGGTTTCTGAATATTTGATGCTGGTAGTTGACTTTGGACTTGGCATGAGCATGTCTTAACACAGCAGGCAGCTGTGAGACAAAGACGGTATGACAGTAAAGAAGACAGTACCGAGGGATGACCGTGTACTGATGTTTATTTAAGAATCTCTTCTAAGTGCATACCACACATATTACTTGCTCTCTGCTTTCACTCATCATCAAAGTGTTGTCATATTTTTTTAATAGTTTGTTTAGCCTCTTTGCAGTGGAAAGGATTGGGATAGAGTAAACTAAAGTTTCAAAGTAAAAGTATATGCTTTCTGTTTTCTGAGCTGCAAGTTAGTTTGTGTTTTTGGTTTTGTAGGGAATCTAATGTGTGAATTGAAGCTAAATATTATTATTCTGTCTTTATAATAATGATGTTATGGGTCTGTTTTCTATATACTGTACATATTTAATGTTTTTTTTCCAATAGGGAATACATTTTGTTGTTTTATTTATTTTTTCATCTTTAGTTGCTTTAATCTAGTGGGTTTTGTTATAAATGTATTCTATATCCATGTAACCCTGGAGCTGTAAATTATGCATATGGTTAAAAGTTTTTTTGTTTATTACTGCAGGAATTTTGGAAGCCTTTGTGCAAAGTAATATCAACAGACAAGGAAATGATTTAAAATATCACATTGTCTTTTTGACACTTACATAAACATAACACTGTTCCAGAGGCTTCTGCTCCGTGTTGCGGTGACAAAAGCATTTGCAATTTACATAACTGTGCTCATAAAAAAAACATGTTTTTCATTGGTGTATATAGTATACCTACAGAAGAGGATTAGGGCCAAGCAATAATAAAAAATAAAACCATCTCGATATTAAAGTCATTATAATGCGAGATTAAACTTGTTAAATTTTAAGGGAAAAAGTCGGAATACAATCTTGAGGAAAAAACTCGTTAAATTTTGAGAATAAACTCAATAAATCAGAGATTAACTCAAATCGAGATTAAAGCCCTTGTGTTTAGAGAAAAAAAGTGAAATGAAATGAAATGTAGAGAATAACGCATTTGATCAGCGTTCATTGCATAGCAGTCTACTGATAGAGGACATAGCAGAGTTGGATCACTAGTCAAGCTATCAACTATCAACTTTGTCACTGGACAAATTGTCACTGGATTTGCCCGTGCAGGACTTTACTGATAAAAAAAGGTTTGAGCCGACACTTGAACAACGAAAAGCGCTGGCCCAAATGCACTCTGGCATATGGACAACTAAGATCAATTAAATCTGTACGTACGCATTGCTGTTAATGGCTGTATACTGTATATAGTTACAGTCTTTACATTCTGTGGATGGAGGCGCACACAACCAACAATGATCCTAAAGTAATAGTCAGTTAGCTACTTCATAAAAACAGTTACTGGCATAGGAGGGTGTGACGAGAGCTCCGCGCGGACATGGGGACCGAAAATGGTAGTGTGGCATTAATCCAAAAGTTTTTACAAAGTAACCATGGATACAGTTTATTCGAAATACGAGTTTATTCGAAACATGAGTTTATTCTGAAAATTGTATTTCGACTTTTTTCTCAAAATTTAACGAGTTTTTTTCTCGAAACACAACTTTATTCTCGATATTTAATGAGTTTATTCTCAAAATTGTATTTCGACGATTTTCTCTAAACACAATGACTTTATTCTCGATATTTAATGAGTTTATTCTCAAAATTGTATTTCGACTTTTTTTCTCTAAACACAATGACTTTATTCTCGATATTTAATGAGTTTATTCTCAAAATTGTATTTCGACTTTTTTTTCTCAATTTAACGAGTTTTTTTCTCGAAACACAACGACTTTATTCTCGATATTTAATGAGTTTATTGTCAAGATTGTATTTCGACTTTTTTTTCTCAGAATTTAACAAGTTTAATCTCGCATTATAATGATTTTAATCTCGTGATGGTTTCATTTTCTTTTTATTATAGCTTGGCTCTAATCCTCTTCCGTATATACCAGTATTAATATATAGTATAATAGTTTAGCATTTCAGTATGCAAAAATGTACTAGTATAGATAGATGGATGGATGGATGGATGGATGGATGGATGCATGGATGGATGGATGGATGCATGGATGCATGGATGGATGCATGGATGCATGGATGGATGGATGGATGCATGGATGCATGGATGGATGCATGCATGCCAACTAGCCATGGTCACAGAATCAGTAATAATTACGTTGTATACAGTACAAATTATCTGAGCGCATTTTGTTGTTTAATGATACAAAGCAAAAATGTGAAGTGAGAGCGTAAAATAAATATGCCACCAGGCTGATGTCACATACAATATGTTGTCTCTGAGAATGGTTGCATAAATAAATGCATTACAATCATCTAACCCTATTATTTGCAATATACTTAATACAAGGTGACTGGCTATAGCTTTCGGCTGAAGCTCAGAAAAGTGTTGCGTCAGCCCCTGTATAATCATAGAACTGGTCTTCAAGATCTAATCATGACGCATACGGTCACTTTAGTGCACTTTAGTGTGATTGTAGTGTTTCTCTCAAGTTCACAATAACTTTTTTTTCTGGAATATGACTTTATAGTACCCAGTCGAGTGAGATTATTTGGTTTTATTAATGTTCCTCAACCCAGAAATGCACCCTTAAATTTCTGAGCCAAATATATTTTATTTTTTTATTATTTTAATTTACCATTATTTAACCAGGAGAAAAGACAGGAATGTCCTAGCCAAGATAGGCAGCTGAGCTTGCTTATACAATTATACAACATACACTACTAAATCCAGCATAAAACATACAACCAGTCAAAAACATTTACACACCATCAATGTCACTCTCAAGGTTACGTGGTAAAATATGTAAATGACTACAAGTTTTGTACAGTAGCTTCATCTTTGTGTGGATAATATTCCAATCCGAGGATGCGGCATATTTGCATTTTGTGTTGTTGCAAAACTCAGAGGCAATATTGCTTGAACAATACTATAGTATGACCTCAAAACACTTTTATCATAGTGCATCATTTGTAAACTAATACATTTTGATGTTTGCATCACATAACCTGCTCCATAAGAATGGCTTTTCTCAGCTACGAGTCCCGTGTTGTGATAAAAGAACTCAAAGACTTATGGAAGCAAGCTAAAATAGCATGGTTGCTTCAGCAAATGTGTTTTAATCGTATGTTTCATTTTATCAAGTTTGTTGAGGGTTTAGTGTTAGTGTTATGATATTTTCAAATGCGATAGAGCATTAACATATCAGCGCCACTCGCCAAACATTTCATTTCAGAACTGTAGTGTGCAAAACGCATTGTAATATCATTTTAATACAATTTTGCCGAGATTTTTCCAATGAGCCTTGGTATCTTGCCCAAAACATCAAATACAAAGACTGCCATTAATGCCCCTCCAAAAAATGCATGCAAATAGATACTCTGTGGGTAGAAAAAGAAGATGCAAATAGATTCTTGCATCAACCAGGCGCTGCTCATTTGAGTTTGCCTCCAGCCTTCACTGACGCCATTGTGGCATTCTATCAGTCTAAATGTTTCCACTTCACTTCCCACAAAAGCGTTTGCACCTCTCAATGCCACTAAATGCCACATTTCGATCCTGTGTACTATTACTCTGTCACTACTAAAGCGTTTAGGTCCACCCAATGGAGCCCAATGGAGCTTTTTGCCAATCCAATGCCAAGCAGAAACTTCTGCCAGGGGAGATGAGTCTGAGATTGTGGCTTTTTAAATGATGTTTGTGCTGATCGTCATGAGAGTGTGCGGGGGTTGCAGTGTGTACATGCATCCGTGTGTGTGTGTGTGTGTGCGTGTTCGTTCGTCCAAGATCATTGGAGGTCTCTCAGTGTTTCAGTGCAAAAGGCAATTAGAGCAGAAAAGTGCTGGTCCTTCCAGCCTGTCTGTCTGCCTAATTACGGGCGCACACACGCGCCACATTGACTGATGTGCTGTTTGCTGTAGTCTAAGGACAGAGAGAATGAAAACCAGCTCATTAAAACATGCGCACACACATACAAACTCTGCATGATCTATCCATTAATTGCACTGCTAACTTGAAATGCACTTCTCTTGGTGTATCACTGTGATGAGGATGTTTTTCGAAGAGTGACAGTAAGATCCCGGTCTGTATGTTGTTGGCACAAGCATTATGAAAGGCATGAGATTCTCACACCCATGTTTACACACACACTAGTGAGTCAAACAGTTCACATGCTGGCTGGCTAAACTACAGCAAACAGATCTTTTACTGGAGTTCAGAGTCCAGAGCTGTTTTTAAGTATTCATATCAGAACATAATTTGATACAAACTCTCAAACTTTCTTTCCGTTTTAAAAAACACATGAGGGTCTTGCATGACTGCACTAGTTTGAGCACATTTTATAGCATTGCATAGAGTTGTTGAGATGTTTGTCGTTGATAAAGTGAATCGGGTTTGCGATTATTGGTTGAATATTGGAGATTGGATGGATTGAGTGCTTTGTTCTCAGTGTGTGTGAGTGTGTTTCAACGTGTTCAGAGATCTGTGGAAGATTGATAACACACACCGGGCAAAGTGACATGGCTGTTACAGGACAATAGCAGTGGAATGTTTCCTTCATACAAATACATATATGTATATACATATATAAACGTCCACATATACATATAGAGTGGCCACAAAAGTTTTTGACATATTGGCATATTTTATTTTATACAAAATTTCAAGGGTCCTAATTATTTTTGCAACCCCTGCTAATAGCAGGTGAATTAAGTATATTTACCTGCCATCCATAAATAAAGTATTTAATAAAAGCTGAGAAACTGAATGTTCTATTATTTTCATTAATAGATAGATAGATAGACAGACAGACAGACAGACATACAGACAGATAGATAGATAGATAGATAGATAGATAGATAGATAGATAGATAGATAGATAGATAGATAGATAGATACTGTAGATACTGTAGATACTGTAGATAGATAGATACTATAGATAGATAGATACTATAGATAGATAGATAGATAGATAGATAGATACTGTAGATACTGTAGATAGATAGATACTATAGATAGATAGATACTATAGATAGATAGATAGATAGATAGATAGATAGATAGATAGATAGATAGATAGATAGATAGATAGATAGATAGATAGATGTTTGTGGTACCTTTAAAATGAATTATGCTTTGTTATATATTTTGTTCTAATTCTTCTAATATTCATATATTTTTAAGTTTGACTTAAAGGGATAGTCCACCCAAATACGAAAATTATCATGTTGTTTCAAACCTAAATGCATTTTTTTCTTCTGCTGGACACAAAATAACAGTTTATTTACCAACAATCTTCAAAATATCTTCTTTTGTGTTCCACAGAAGAAAGACATGGTTAGAGTGAGTGAGTGATGAGAGAATTTTCATTTTTGCATGGACTATCCCTGTGTTCAAATGTTTTCATAACACATTATGCATAGATGTACGTACTGTATAAATATATATTCAACCAACAAACCAGCTCAGCTCACACACACACATAATATTTCAGCATAATCTGCTCGCAATTCATGATTATGCAATATCAAATAACTAAATCAGTTGAATTAATTCACCTTTGGAAACGAGCAAATGATTACAATATAAATGCAGCCTCGTGCCGCGCAGCGTTACGGCAGCATTGTGTTGGGTCACGATGAAACGAACCCATTGAACGGCACCATTTGATGTGGGATGTTTAATTTAAAACTGTATTGTGATGGAAATCAGGGGAGCGAGACAGACAGGGACTGGAATACGGGGAATCTCCCTGGTGATAATGTTCTCCCCTCCCACAGCCCCCCGGTGACGCAGCAGTCCGTGTGTGTGAGAGAGAGAGGAGCCACGAGGTGCTTCAGAGAACGACGTCACCGAGTGCTCCCTCCTCCTCCTCCTTCCCCTGGACCGGGAGGTAAGCAGCCACACACCCTCTCTCACATGCGAGTGGAGCTCCAGAGCGCGCGCACCCTTTCTCTCTCGTCTCTCATTTCTTTCGCTTGTCATTCCGTCTTTCGTGGAATCTGTCCAGCCTTGCCTCTTTGTCACTTTATTTATATCTCTCATCTCCCTGAAGTCATTCCCTAACACACTCACATACACACTCGTATGAGGATGTGCTGCATTGGCGTGCACTCTTTCCTATGGAGCCCTTCTGAGGGATCTTAAACCAGAAGCTCCAGAGCGCACTCAGGCTTTTGACTCCTCGATTCCTCCGGGTCAATGTGGTAAGTCGGCGCTGATGTGGACATGGGCAGCAGGCGTGCAGTGGCCCCCGACCCGCGCATGGACGACAGGTTGATGCCGGCCGCTCTGGTGGAACAGGAGGAAGACGAGGATGAGGACGAGTCCTCCGATACCTGCAGCACAGACCGAGTTACTGTGCCTACGTTCGACGTGCCGTATTTCCGTTATATTGACGAAGAGGGCACGGAGGAAGAGGGCGAGGAGGAAGGCTGGTGCAGCAGTCGATCCCTGTCCTCCATCGAAGAGGAAGACTCCAGTGACTCTTCTGTCTCCCACAGGTACGCTGCCGTGCCTGCCGCCCCTGAAAGGGTTTTGGAGCATCTGCTGGGCCACCTGAGGCTGGACGAGGAGCAAAAGAGCCCCCAGAGCAGAGAGACAGGTGAGCCGTCGACTTTTATCATAGTCGTGACCCACGTGTATATGTTTTCTGCTGACTTTCTCAATTGATTTTGAGGCCTAATCTAACAGGTGTTTTTCAATTATGCGGAGATCTGCGGGTTTGACTGTATTTCATATGTCATATAACATGTGTTTTAGTATCAGTGTTTGTGGTATGAGTATGAAACAGGGCTGTTTAATTTTAAAACTATTAAAATAAACCATTAAAATAGTTTTGTTCATTGAAAAAAGCTGAAACAACAGAATATAAATATTGAACCTTTTAAACGTAAAAAAAGTGAAATGTTGCATTGGCCACAATCATAAAACTAAAATGACTAAAACTAAAATTTAAAGTAAAATTTAAATAAAAAAATAATAATAGAGATGTCTAAAAACTGAAACTAAATTAAATTAAACTAATTAAATTGAAAACAGAAATTTTATTCAAAATGTCCATAAATACGTAAATTGCATTGAATACTAAAATAACACTGGTCTGAAATTTGTGAACATGATCATCCTATTTCTTAAACTGATAGTTTACCCAAAAATTTTAATTCACACTCTTGTGTTGATCCAAAATTTTATGACTTCCTTTCTGATTTGGAACACAAAAGATATTTTGAAAAAAAAAAAAAAAAAAATATATATATATATATATATATATATATTGTATCACAATTAAATTCAGTAGGGTCCAATGTCTTTTGTACTACACTGACTTTGATTCAATAATAAAAAAAAAAAAAAATCTTTAAAATATCTTCTTTTGTGTTCTGAAGAAAAAGGAAAGCCATACAGTTTTGGTATTTTAATTTTTGGGTGAAATATCACTTTAAGAGATGGGATGATCATATTTTAGGAATAGTAGACCTGAATCTAGTACCTGGACCATTCAAAACAAGCAGCAAGTCTGAAAAACCTTCTGAAAATAAAGAAAATACTCCACAAAAAAAATAATTTTTGTGGCACAAGCATCTATCAACATTGTCACCTGCTGTTCCAAAAATGTTGCGGCATGTGCTTCAAACAGCAGTATATTTCCTGTTTCTGTTTTCGTGCTATAAGGTAAATGATGTGATAGTAGTGATCCATTTTTAGCTGACTGCCCGACTATATCCTGCTGGTACTGAGTTATTATCTCCTGCTGGCTTTAATGTCCTACCGTCATGGATGGCATGCTGGACTCCATGTTTAGCTGGCAACAGTTAAACAAGGAGGTTGAAAGGGATAAATTGTGGGATAGTTTCACCTATTGGGATGCACAGAATAATTTAGCATTTAAATGATTGAATGACTATAGCATTGTCATATCTGGGACATATGAATTAGATGTCTAGAGCTAATGCACATACAAAGAGAGGTAAAAGATATTTTGCCTGCCAGGCTGAAGTCATTCTTGTTTTTCCAGTCCAGACAGAATGTTTTTAGTAAAAAGTATTGATTTAGATTCTCCATAGGGAACAGAACATCTCTGTAGCCCTAAAGCCATGAGGTCTGGGTCAAATCTGGAGTGAAACTGCAGGATTTGTGACTCTAGTTGCGTTTTGAAGCCGAACAAAAAAACAGATTAATTTCCATGCCATTATAAGGAGCATGAATGCACTCTGCTTTGGTACTCTTGGTTGCTGAAGTAGTGCGTGTTCGATATCAAGCTGTTCTGTCTCTCAGACTAGATTAGAGGAATGAGTTAGTGTTCTTTCCCCTTAGAAAAAGCCTGACTTTGCGGTGGCTGTTCCCCCTCCCTCTGAGCCAGTCCAGCGGAGTGAGTTCTAACCTCATTAAAGACATTGATAGCTAATCGCTATAGTTCAGCTCATTTCTCTGAGTCTTGTCTGTTTAAATCCTGCACTGCTTCAGTGCTGTTCCAGAACTCTCTTCCATTGCTGAACAGAGGAAAAGATGCCATTTGGGCATGCACACACGACACACCTCTTATACTCCTATTTATTAACAAAAAAAAAAACTACATGTGGAGTGTAAAAAGATTTTCAGCTGGTCAAAATACAATAATATGTAGGCTTTGCACATTCAAAGAGCACATTTATCCCAGCACACAGTTTTGTTTTTGGATGTTCGGTGGGTTCCGTCACGGAATATATATATGTAATATAATGAAATAAAATCAGGTTGTGAACATATTCCTACACCTTTACGTTTGGTGTCTTTCGATTCAGTGTTAAAATGCCAATGTGAACGCGCAGCGTGTTGTATGAACACGTGTTGTATGTAAAAGAGCAGCTTTGACATTTTGCTAAACTTCTCTTTTTGTGTTCCATGGAACAAAGAAAGCCATATAGATTCCTAAAGACGTTAATTATTATATAAATCAAATATGTAGTTGATCTGTTCTTTAAAAGCTTTCTATTATATATATTAACAAAATTGGAGGTGTTGTCAGGGTAAACAGAGAAAAGGTCTCCATGATCTATGAACTGTCAGAGGAAGTGGCTTCACTCCTAACTGCCTGGTAAGCTCTATTCTACTGGGAGGGTTTTGTCCACGCTATAAATCTATTATGGTTTAAATGCTATGACAGATAATAAATGAGACTTTTTTTATGCTATTTTTGAAATCCATCCATAACTGCATTAGCTCAGACTGCCCGGTGATCCATACATACTATTTCTAAGCCGTTGCATGTGTCTGTATATGTGTATATTTTGGGGTATTGGTATAAATAGTGCGTTCTTCTAAACAGAGAGAGACAAAGAAAGAATTAGACAGACAGAAGGAGAGACAGAGAATCCCAGAGGACAGGTCTCGGGGGACATGAAGCCTGCCGGTGTATTGTCATGCTTGCACACCCCTCACATGTGTAGGGAGTTTGATAGGGCTCAATATTGATTTCATATGGCTTCTGAAGTATCCATCAGCTGATCCCATGTGAATTCTGTGTTTACATCCTGCAGGACAGGCTGCTTCTGAACACAAAAAGGATTTAAAGGTTTGTTGTTTAACGTATGAAGCCGAAGGGAAGCGTGCAGTAAAAGTATTGATTCGGTTATGGAGAGCAGAGGTTGTTTTATTGTTTTTTTTTTCTTTTCTAAATGAAAGGTATCCCGCCAACTGTATCTCCCTACAGAGCTGGAGCTTTTGACATTTCTTAATGCTTGTAAATGCATGAGCAAGATGATGTGCAATGAAAGAAAGGGGAAAAATAACTCTGTAGTGGTTTGGTACTTTTATGTGTTTGCCTGCGGTTCAATGCTTTTGTTTATTAAAAATGATTTTATGGTCAAACATGCAAGACATGTTACAATTATGGATTCTTTCTGTAATGGCGTATTTGTTCTGCATTCAGTCTGTGTGTGTTTGCATGAGGATTCCTGGAGTCTTCTGCCGATAGCAAAGAAACAAATGGGTTGAGGAAGAAATCTGAGCCATTTAATTGCCAATTAGTCTTTGATTATTTTGTCGATTATGCTTATTGATCCTCAAACCAAGAGGGTATATCGGGTTATTGTATTTTTGGAATCTAGCATGTGTTCGATGAATGTAATGTTTCCTCTGTGTTCAATACCAGGCATTTTCTCTAGTCTTTTTCAATTTTCAGAGCACTGCAGAAATCATTGATTTGGTATATACTGATAAAAGACATACAATGCTAAACAAAAGCTCATAGCATTCAGTGAGATCCAAAAGAAGAAGACCACTTTAAAAATCTAGAATAAAACCTGAATGGATAAATAAACGGAGCCATTAAGACTTTGGAATTTAAAACTAAAAATGGGACAAAATGTATTATTAAGAGTTATTAAAAGGATAGTTCTTCCAAAAATGAATATTCTCCTTGTTTATTCTCACCCTCATGTTGATCCAACCCCGAAAGGCTTTCGTTCATAATTGTAACACAAATTAAGATATTTTTGATAAAATCTGAGAGCTGGATCACTCATCCATAGGCTTCTATTGTAATTGAAACTTGCCAGCACAGAAAGTTATGAAAGACATCATTAAAATAGTCCAAGTGACTACAGTGGCTCAAACGTCTCGACGTTTATCAAACGTCGAGAATACTTTTTGTGCGCAAAAAACAACAAAAATAACGACTTTATTTGACTATTCATTTTCTTCTGTGTGGGCCTTTCGAGTGAGTTCACGTAGTGTAACAGCGCAGCGCTTCTGGGTTGTATGTCAGAACGTAGGCTCACTATTGGCCGACACTGGTCATGTGTGTGATGATTGTTATAATAGAAAAGTATTTTAAATCACAATAATATTTCACAATATTACTATGTACTGTAATTTTTAATCTAATAAATGCAGCCTTATGGGCATTTCACACAGGACGCGAAATGCACTGTACTATGAAACCCATTCATTTCACTGATTTGCACCCCGCAAAGACGTTTTGTTGCTGTGTCGACCAAAGCACAAGCGCAGCGGTGCGCACCATTTACGTCCTCGCGCGCATGCTGTATATTTATTTTATTTTCTTTTTATTCAAAAGAAAAGAAAATTAATATACGATTTGTAAAGCTAACTCCCTAACTAAAAACAGTTTACAATAAAAAAATGGCGTCAAGATCCCTACTTTCCAAAATCAATATGTACTATATATATTTACAGACAAGCAAACTGAAAAGGGCAGTCCAAATCACTGTCGGTAAGCAGGTCAAGGGTCAAATATACTAATAGGGATATTTAGATAAAACAGTTCACAATTCAAACAAACAAACAGTGCTCACAGTTTCAAAGCTCTTAACACTCAAATCACAAAATCTCTCTCTGTTCAAACACAAAACCCAATCTGACTGTAGAGGAAATGATGATGTGTCTTTTACCAATTAGGATAGAGGATCAATCACCATGCAGAAATCCGTAGGAACCAATCAGATGATGTTCCCAGACAAACAAACAGAGAAATAACAAAATACAACCCATAGTTAACAGAACGTGATGTACTATGTAAGAATGAGCCTAGGATTAAATCTGGAAATAAAGCAAAATAACTGTCTGTAATTTATGTCTGTAATTTATATGAAAACATCGATC